TGTTCAGGTGTGACTTGCACGTTTGGCTATCTGGGTACATTTCTGTCAGAGTATTCGAATCGATTTCCACGATATAGACATTATAGACGGACATGTAACATATAGTGCTTCAAAGATTTCATTTACTCTAAATTTTTGGAAGTGAAATTTCACTCGAAGAAAAGTGATAGTTGCGCCAGTCCTGCAAGGAGTGAACTTCACTTCACTCCTTCAGGAGTGAATTTCTTAATCTAACTTAAAAAGTCAACTTTAATTATTAATATTTCGCTTCGCGAGACAGAGCGACGCTTTTTTCTGCCATATTCGTTCGTTTTGTGCAAAAATACGTAGAATGAGCCTAATAATTTTTAGATTAAATATAGGGAGGCTAAACTTAACATTTATCAAAGTGAAATTTCAATCTCTTCCTTCAGAGAGTGAAATTATTTATTCTCCACATAGATTGAAAATTGACTCCCATTTGGAGTGATTCTTCACTCTTTAAGAGTGAAAATTTCACTCCTGTCGGACTGGCGCAACTATCACTCTTTAGGAGTGAAATTTCACTCCCAAAAATTTAGAATGTTGCTGGCGCTACGCGTCGCCGCGCCGAGACGATCGGGACCGTCTTTGGTATGAGAAATTTGGGGGTATCCAGAATCTAACTTAAAAGTATTAGGTCTCGTGAAATAGATTAATTAGATCTAATTAAAACTTACAACGTACAATTCTGACAAGTGTCAAAAATTCCAAAATCGACTATAAAATTCCAAAATCTTCGCCGCACTTCTTTGCAGATCTCAAGTGTAAAGACGGCCCTGATTGTCCTTCGAAACTTGATCGCGTGCGTACCGCCATGATTATCATGTCATCATTGCGTTGCATAAGCCAGCGGACGATTATTCTCTTAAGGCCGAATAAAGAGAGAAATAGAAAGAGAGAGAAAGACACATTTCGTGTATATTTCGAGAAACGAGCTTGAGACGCATAAAAGTTCCTCCTGAAAGAAATGCATCTAAGGGTCAACGTCCTCCTGCTTTGCTTTGGGCGCGATCTTTTCGTCGCTTTCAAACTCCTTCACGCTCATGTGGACGTCCGCGACTTCGACCGGCGGCGGTGATGCCGGTTTCACTGAGTTGTCATCCTCGGCGACCTCAAAACCGATCGTGGCTCCGATCTTTTGGCTCGCCTGCTTGAATGAATCCGATAGCATCACCTAGCGACATGCGATTAAACAGATTTAATGATTTATTCGATCAAATTTAATGAGTATTATTCTTCCACATTCTTTCCCATCACCGATTTTAATGGCTCTTTGGCTATTGAATAGATATAATAATTTTTTTGTAAGTTGAATATATAAATATACCGAAAAAATATTGTACTAGAAGTACTAAATAACCTAGATAGCACAGAGAATTCAAACAAGTTCAAAAAGAATTCAATGATATGTCATCAATTCTGAATTCAATTTCAGTTGCAATTCTTTTTCTGAAAAGAATTCTTGTTGCATCTGAAAATGAATTCAGAATTGATGACATATCACTGAATTCTTTTTGAACTCTTTGTACTATCTGAGAATATACATAAATACATCGGAAAATATTGTGCTAGTATGAGATTATTCAACAAAGCTACATGAATATCTCCGTGTCTTGATATATCATTAAATGCCATGATAAAAAAATATTAAAATGTTGATGAAATTATTGAATAATAAATGAAGGTTTAATGTATGACAGTATGATAATTGAAACGAATATAATATTATGTGAAAGATATAATTATTATAAATATTTTACACGACTATAACAATAATAACAAAATCTATAACATTTTAAGAAAAATTGTAATGCACTCCATAGCCAATGCACTTTCTGTAAATATATTTATAATCAGAAATGTATCCTAAATGAAAAAAATATTTTTAAAAAAATATAAAGAACAAGTGAAATGTATATAATATATCAACATCTGCGGTTGGTATTAGTCCTGATTGGATTTGTTATCATTTTTTTAAAAAAGAATTGTTTACCTGCACGACGTTGATGCACATGGATGTAAGCGCCAGACCGAATACCAAGTATACTATTGAACCCATCATGTATATGGGATGCTAAATCAATCAATCAATAAATCCATTACATTCTGCAAATCGTGGATCTCACAGTATTTGTTAATTCATTAACTACGATTTACTTCCTTAATTAACGAAATGGTTACGAGTGAAAATAAGCTTGTGAGAAACAACGAATACATCGGTGATATACAGCTTTTCATTGAGAAAGATCTTGCATGTCAAAAAGCTTACCATCTGAACGCCACCGTGAAAAAAAGAAACATGAGAGTAAATTAATCATTTACTGTAGAAAATGGAAACTCTGTCGTGAGATCGCAAATAAAATTCAAGAGGTGAATTCAAAGAGGCGCTAAGGGCAAATTAAATGGAATTCGCGGATTCCTAACATAGCACAGTCATGGCGAATGTTAAATAATTGAGAATGCTACTTACAAGAAAACAGAAACTTACAGGGAAGTATCTTTCTCTGATTTTAATATGTTGTAGTCTAGATCTAAATAAGAAACACGTATTTTTTTAAGTGCGCCTATATACGCACTTTTAAGGAATGAAACACTCCTTTGAAGAAAATCGGTTATTTTTTTCGAAACGATCGAATATCATCGAAACTATAAAAAATGAAAAAATTTTTTTATATAAAAGTTGAATTTTATAATAATAAAAAATTTATTTTAATTTATTTTTTATATTTATATAAACCTAATTTTTTTATTAAAAAAATTTGTTTATTATTATTATAAATACTCTTAAAATCATTTAATTTGTTTCTTTTAACAAAATTTTTTTATCTCTTATAGTTTCGACGATATTCGCTTCGAATAAAATTAATCACAGTTGTGTACTTTAAAGTTGTTTACCTAAAAGTGTATGTACACGTATAAAAGAGTCCCTTATTTTGGTTTAGACTACAACATATTAAAAACTCATTAAAATCGAAAGGAACATTTCCCAGTATTTCTTTGTTAGACAAATACGCTAATTACATAATCTTCCACACTAATTTCACTCAAGTAACTCTTATTGATCAATATTTCGGTTTCGTGCGATTTATCTCACGACTTACATCGACTATTATTCATGTCTATCGAAGTCAATGAAGAAATCACAATACAAATTATTATCTACGAATTTACGAAGAGTATTATTATTAATTATTTGTTAATTATTAATTATTTGATTCGACTGAATAATATTTAATTCGAAAATAATTACCGTTGGCACGTAATCACCGAAGCCGATAGTACTCATGGAGATGAAAACGAAGTAGAAGCTCTCGAAGAAATCCCAAGAAGTCTCCCACAAGGAGTATAAAGTGGCTCCTACAAAGATATAAGCCAGGAGAACGATGATTGCCACCGAAATCGGTAGATTGAACTCGTCATCGACGATGTATGCCGATAATGCCGGCGTACCCGGTGTACCCGGCGTATTGGCGTCCACATTCAGGACCGTCTGCGGTTGTTGGACCTGCTGCCTCTGCATCTCGTCGATTTCCTCTGGATTCATCTGCGAGGGCCGTCGTAACTTTGCAAGATCGTAAACGAGTTGCACGCCCTTCATGACTTCCTGCGATCAACAGAATGGACAAGTGAAATTGTTAAAAATAATAACAATAGAGCAAGACACAATAAACGAAGATGCACAATCAAAAGATGCGGTATATTGCCTATAAATCCAATCCTGAACAGAGATAAAGATAAGGAAATTGAAAATTAGAATACAAATATAACGGCAAAGAGAATAAAACTGAAATTTAAAGGCCATACTAAAGCTAATCGTACCGATTGACACGATCGGCTTCAGTGGACAAGCCTTAAATAAAACAATAATTATAAATAAATTAACTAATAAAATAATAAATAAATAAATTTAAAAAGTGCACAATAAATTAAAAATATAAATTAACTAAATAATAAAAGAAAAATGCTGAAAAATTAAAAGAAACGAATAAAGAATAAAGAAGAAACACCAAAAATAAAAGTAAAATATAAACAATTATGTAATTTTTAAATTAAACATAATTTTTAATTAAACATAATTTAATTTTGTTTGAATAAAATCCTCGCACATCTCTTTTTTTTTCTTATTTCCTTTATTATTCTTTACAGTTTCGGAAGACATTAACTTTTACTTATATGAAATTATTAATCTGTGAATGGACCAATTAAGCAATTGAAGATAAAAAATAATGCAATAAAAAGAATATAAAAGATGTACTAAAATTGTACGATATTATAAAAAATCGATATTATAAATCGAAGATATTGCGAAAGATTCTAGGGACTTGAAAGTTGGCTTAATTTCTTTTTTAATTGATAATCTTTTCCTCGGAAAGATTTTCTCTTACAATTAAATCATTTTACCTGGACAGGCACAGTGCGACGGACTTTGCGACAGCTACCAGTGTAGTATACTCTTCTCACAAATGCCCATAGGAATTTTATACCGCGTGTGAATAATTTACCAAAGTCAGCCAAAATAATGAGAAATATTGGGATGCCGAAAATTGCATACACAATCGTGATGGCCCTTCCTGTGTCCGTACTTGGCGAAATATGTCCATACCCTGCAATGAAAAATCATCAACTATAGTGTCATAATCAACTGTAGTACTATAGTATAATCATCTGCTTTAGTACTATATTGATATGCTATATTGAATGATTTAGACTATATTGAAATTTATGTTTAGCATCGCATTTTTATTTATATTATATTTAATATATTTTTGTGTGTGTGTATATAAATATATAATATATACAAAATATATGTATAAATAAAATATACAATATACATATAATTACATATAATAATATTGTTTTATATATTATATAAGATAACGACGCGTACATGGAACGATATTTGTTTGCGTCGGTTTCTGAATCGTCATTATAAAAGTGGCACGTTTACGCACATCGCGAGTAAAGTCTAAGTTTAGATTATTCAACAGAGCTAAGGCGGTTGTGTTCTCTCGTAAACAAGCTGCAATTGCCATATAATTCAGTGAATGCAATCGAACGGTTCCATTTATACGATCAATGTATAACTTAAATTTGAATGTACTTTTTTTCTGCGAGTTTGTTATCTAATCTAAAAAAATCATTCACATTACTGTGAACATTGCACAATGCGAGTCAACGACGTCGAGCTTCCAAAGCTTTCCTTACTATCTATAATCCAAATTTATCGCGTCTTGGCGATCAAGATAATATAAACAGAAATTACAAACTATTTAAACGAATTTAAAAAATAATATTTTAATAAAAAATTAATAAAAAATATCATGAATTTGTTAATAATTTAAATAAAGATTAGTAAAAATTTTTATTTTTTATTTTATTATTAGTTTTTTAATCAAGTACAGAGAAAATTGATATACTTTAAACAAATGCTTTAACTTTTTTAAATTCGTATTTTTTTGTACATTTCTCTTAATAATTTGCATGTAGACGCAGACCATCAGATTTCACTACATTTGCATGTCAGAAAATCAATACCATTCATAAAATGTTTTATGTCAAACTATTCCAGAAACATACGTAAACTTTTACAACACAGTTATCTCATATATGTAATGGATATACAGTTATCTTAATTTTGCTTGCGCTGAACACAATCATCATTGATATAATAGATAATTAGATACCATTACTTTCTCGGAGTAATCAATATTAAATCGTCAACAATTTTAAACTACGAACAATGATAATTTAATAACATGATATTTATTTAATGAAACCTATTTCAATTAAAAAATTTTTAATTCAAAAGAAGAAAATATGAAAAATTTTTTTAAACTTTTTCATTTGAAGTACAAAAAGAAATTTACATAAATATATTAAAAATATTTTAGAGAAATACTACTTTAATAACTTTTTTTTTTTAATAACATTTCTAATATTTATCTAAGTTGTTTTTTTTTCATTGTATAACTTGTTAACAATGCTAACTAATAATATCGATAAAATATTCTTAATGCTTGTACTATTAAATTATTTTAAAAGCTTCGAAGAAGCTGATTTTTTCAAGATCGATGTTATGTTTAAAGATAAAGGAAGGCTCCTAGAAGGCGATCTCTTCACATCAGGGAAATTATTCCCACCTTGAGCCTCAAGACAAGTGATGTGTTCTCACCGATAGTGGTGATGACAGTGAGACAATACACGACGGCATTCAAGAAACTCCAATTTTTTTGACCGCTATACGTATGCAAGCCGGCTTCGTGAGCTGTGTGAAGCTGTTCCTCGAACTCCATCAGCTTCCTACGCGCCATGCTCTTCCAATCGTCCTCCCTCAAATTATGACTATAATTCCACAGAGTATCTAGGAAGTCACGCTTCACGCGTTTCACGCCACATTTATAGAATGTTTCGAAGGCACCCTCAACGAAACGGAAGACGAAGCCGCCGAGGCCGCAGTAGATTATTATGAGCAATAGTCCGACTATGCAGCGATTACGCAGCCGCCTGATGATCATAGTCTCACGTGGATTTTGCGCCACGAAGGTCTTGAACTCGCTGACGATGTCTCTGAGAACCCTGAAGAAATCCAATAGAGTAATCTTCTCCGCAGCTTCTTCTTTTTTCACTTTAGTCTCTTCAACTTTTGGAACGGACTTTGGTTCGTCTTCAGTCTTCTTCTCTATAATATTTTCATCCTTCTTATGCCAGAAAGACAACCAAGAAAACCATGATTTTTTCTTGTCCGTTACATCAGAAGACTGCGTTACGTTCTGAACGATGTCCTTTTGCTCGCTCTCGCTGTATGTCAGATTGAACTTTCGCCTCCTCAAAGAACTAACTTCAACAGCGTCTTGAAACATATCTACTTCCGGATCCAGGATGCTGCGTTCTCGTAACATGTACTCCCTCTGAGCCCTCGCGAAATCCTCTATTAAGCTTTCGTTACTCAGCGGGATGATTTGCTTCTTCACCTCGATTGAGGATCTCTTTACCCTTCGCTCTTCGGCAGATTTCTGCAACAAATTCTCGCTCTTCACCATTTTAAGATCCTCGTCCGTATTTTCGGTCTGACTGTAAGGTCTCGAATGTGGCACGGAATCATCTCTCGTGCGAGACTCTTCTTCGAACTTCTGCCGACTCGGTGACTTCTTCTCTCGGTTCAGTCTTTCGATATCCTTCTTTTGTGCTTCGGGATCACTGATTCGACTCTTTCCGCTCGTCTTTTTCACCCTGGACCTGACTGTTTCCGGTGATTTTGTCCGTCTTTGACTCGACTCATTCTTTTCATCCTTTTCGTCACTGGAGTCTGTTGACCGGCTATATTTCTCCACACGTTCTTTCGATCTCCTTTTAAGTCGCCTTTCGATCTTACGGACTTCGACAGGTCTGCTAGTCTCGCCGTTTGTTTCTTTCGGTGTCTCCGATGTCTCTTGGACAGCACCATTCTTAACTGCCTGAACAATCTCAGGTCTGATAACGTCTTTCTTTGTGGTACCATCATCAAACCTCTTCGCTACTTCGGTGATCTGCTTTACCGGTTGCGTGCTGTTGTCGTCAGTTGTTACAGAGCCAGTCTCGTGTGTCTTCGAAGTATTTCCAGCCGTTGACTTGACGCGTATGTCGATCATGTCATCCACGTTCGCAGAATTCCTCGTGTCAGTTTTGTTCTTTCTTCTAGCCGGACGCTGCTCCCGATCATTCCCCATCTTATCCTTATTCTCTAGTTCTTTCAAGGACACTTCCTGCTTCTGATGTTGTGACAATCTATTTTCTTTCTGTTGCTGCTCCATTTTTTCCGCTTCCTCAGCCATTCTCTCCATTCTGGCGCGTCTCTCCTCATCCTCATCATCTGAAGCAGATATACGCGACGCAACACCCCTTGATGAGGGATCGGGAGTTTTCTCACGCTTCCTGGCAGCCGCCTTGCGACGTCTATGAACTATGTAACTGTCTTCCATCGCGTCTTCGTCGTCGCCGTCGCCACTGTCGTTGTCGTCGTTGTCGTCGTCGTTCGATGGTCTTTGTGTACACAAGAGAGACTCTCGCGACAGGAACTCACTCGCGAGGCCAGCCCCAACGAGGCCGTGACAGAAATAAAACGGAGGCTGCTCCCACCATCTGCCGCCACCACTACCGTCGGCACGGTGACGTTTGCCGCTACCAGCAACTGCGGCGGAACCGGATGACCGGCTTCATCGTAGCGGATATTGAGCGGGGGTATTACGCGCAATCGAAATCGCGGCTTTGGCGTCGCGACGCCGCGCCTGCACTACCGCAACCCATTCGGTCGCCCAGCTTGGAGGTTACACTGCACCATCAGAATCGGGTGACCCTTTAACCCCAAGACCTCGTCAAAAATAAAAATCCTGTAATGGAGTTGTTTAAATATGTCATCGATTGTTCGACGTCAAACATCTTTTAAATTTTATGTTCGATAAAAAATAATGACGAATTAATAAATAATTAAATATAAAAATAAAGAAATAAAGAAAGAATGAATGAAGAAATAAAAAAATAACAAGGAAAAATTTTTCAAGGATTAAATTATAATAAAATTATGATTAAATTACAAATACGCGTATATCCGTGTATTTCTGTATTTATAAATGCTTTATAATTATTTGTATAATTATATCGACAGCATATATGAAGAAGAGCCTAAATTATAGTCGTATATAGTACATTTTGTAGTTATTACAATTGAATTATTATACTTTTAATAACAATTAAATCCAAACGGAGCAATTTATGAAATTATAGAAAAATTAAATGAGACAAAAGCGGCCGAAACAGAATTATAATGTAAAACGCTTAATTAAATTATTATCTCAAGTAACAGCGATTTAATTCAAATGAAATAATTAATTAAAATTAAATCAGCGGAGAAAGGAAATTATAAAACAGTCATTTTTATATATTTAAATCAATAGGCTAAAAAAGAATTATTTTACTTTAAATTTTTAATAATTTTACTAATAAATGAAAAATAGATTTCAAGATAATATCTTGTTTTATATATTCATGACAGAGTTAAAATCATTATTTCAGTTTTCTGTCTCAAATATTTTCTTTCTCTCAAATATGCAAATATTCTTTGTACAAAAAGTAAAAATAATAATTATACAACATATTCAAATAATATTGAAATCATAAGAAACAGAAACTCTTTTGTAAAAAATTAATTTAATTATTCAAATTTAACTTAACAAAAATCTTCGATTAAATATCGGTATATGCGAACCTCTTGTTAACAATTTCAAGCGTAATTTCGGAATAAAAAATACGCAGAATCGTATTTTCATCTGCTAAGTTATATTAAAATAATCATTTTCAATATTGCTTCAACTTAGCATCGCAACAATGTTATGCAACATCCATTAATAACTATCATCATCGCAATCAAGAAGCATGAATGAAATTAGATAAGAGCTTATTATTGTTTTCATAGAAAACATGTATTCGCATATTGTCTGTACGCAACTTTAAACATTTTTATTTTTTATAATAGAAATTGACAAAGTCATTTCGCAGAAATGTGCAGGAAAATTAATTCTTTCGTGAACTCTCACGTTGTTAACTTATATTAATTTATAAATTCTCTCTATCTCTCTCATTTATTAAAAAAATATGTAACACTTTTTATTTAAAAAAATTTGTCATAAATAAATGCAATTATAAATAAAATTTGTCATGATAAATAAATCTATATACATACACGCATTAACATATATCGGTCAGTTCGAAAATTTACCAATTCGAATATTTGACATCGCTTTCTTGCACTGATTTAATTAAACCAGATAAGATTTACCAGATAAGAATGATGATTATCGTACAAACATTCGTTCATGCGATTCCATTTAATTGCCAATCAGATATTGGCTTGCACAAAATGTCTCGATAGTAATTTTGCGCGATATTTTCCATCCAATATCACGATGCACTGCGACTGAGTAAGCGCGCTTAATTTGAACGAGACAACATCGTCAGAGAATTTCTCGTACTTTACGTCTGTCAAAAACTTAAAACAAAATGACATACCTGTCTATGTCCTCCTACGATCATCTTACCCAGTTCTTTTCCATTATATAATGACAGAACTCGAAATAGTACGCGTGGGCACGCACAAAGTCGTACAGAAAGCTGCACGCATGAATGTGCGCAGTGTTCGAATCGTCAAGTTTTTCACAACCAAAATAGCAAGAGAGGTGCGTAGGGTATAATACACCTTTATATATGCAAAACGCATATTATACATTTGTAGGAACATCGCAATGTCTCATGCGATCGTAGATTGTCTCATGCGACAAATTTTGAGTCAGTTCTTCTTTCATAGAGTTTATTTGATTTTTTATTTTCAACTTTTAATCTGGTCGTTTATATATCACGTAGTGTTTAATCCAAATAATCTAACGCAGGTACAGGCGTGCAATCGGTCCGTGTATAAATAGTGCGAATATGTCTGAATAAACACGAAGAAACCGATGTTTCTAGATAATCTGTGTCATTCCTCGTGAAACGCAGCACTGTTATTTTGCACTCGTGTTAGAGATTATAAGTTAGATTCTTAAACAATTCGGAAAATATATTTTCCACAATGTGAAAAGTTATACAAATGTATGAAAACAGTGTGCAGAAGCAATGATGTATAACAAAGTTCCTAAATCTTTCTTTTCATTTTATTTTTTATTTTTTATTTATTTTAAATATATTTTTTACAGTAATCGTTTCTTTTTTTATTATCGATTCATCATCATGCTCGTAAATCAAACTATTAGCGAAATATCATCGCCGATACGTGAAACTGCAAAACGCGCCGATATATCAGCGAATAAAATTTCTCAGAGTTACATATTAGTGAGTTATATATTGACCATACGTACGTATTAATTTTCGCGTAAAAATTACACAAAGCACTTAAGAAATTGGGTCATGTACGTCGTGTATCACAGTAAAATAAAAAGTGTGAATTTTTTGTACAAACAACTGCAAAAGTGTTTTATGTTGTTAAACTCTCAATAAACAATTTATAAATGGATAAATAATTAATAACACAGTAAATATTTATAAAATATACAATATATCGACCATTATATATATAACCCTTTGGAGCTGACATCAAAATGTGTAACATACTAATTCTGATATAGTTATTGATTCTGGATCTGTAAAGCTCGTTTAATCTATTAATTGAAAAATACTAATTCAAATTTCAAGAAACGAAAATGACATAACTCGTATTTAAAAAAGAATGAATACCTACTAATAAATTTATTTTAATAATTCAAATTTGCAGACGTAATTGAGTGGATCTAATATTACTATCATCTTATTTTCGTTTTCAAATATGTTTCAAACTCAGTTCGTATTATAATATGCTCATTAATCGAATATCTGAGACAAAATAAGAAAATAAGATTCTTCAAATCATAAATAAGATTAGCAATTCCTTCTTTGGTTTTTATAAAATATTATTACACAAGAAGAAAAGCTTTTCATTAACAAAATAATAAAATTAATAAAAATTTCATCGGTAACAATCATTTTGTTTATTCCTATACATACAAGGGATAAATTCATCATTTGCATTCTACAGAGATCTGCATTCACGCCGCATGCATCTATTATTACCAGAAACCGACATAACCCATGTAAACCTATGTGCAAAGCAATATGCAAGAATTGAGCTTGAAATCACGTCGCGCACGCAACATAATACATTATACGCATATACACTGCTTTATTCCTCCTCTGGCTTTTGATTTCTCGCTCGAGGAGAAAGCTGCGCAAGATAAATAAACTGAATATCATTAAGCCACACAAATAAAAATAACTTCCACGAACGTTATGAGAACGGGGACGGCACAAGTTAAAACACCATCGTAAAATGTTTTGTCAGAATCAAAGCATTTTGACATAATAATGAAATCTCTCTTAAGACACTTGACTTTTCTACTTTCGACGAAAAAATATGTGTCTCATACGAAAATCGCTCTATTTCCAGATACACATCAATAGCACCAATTCGTTTTTGTCTACCTTTCTTTCCAAAGAAAATAAATATTCTCACGTATTGAGCATATTTTAAAAAAGCGTGAAAACGAATTCTCTTCAATAGGGAGATAATATTAACGATACAAATACAATACCAGAATTGTTCTATTAATTAGAAGGACCTACATGGAAAAAGTATTGTTGTATTAATAGCATTAGCTAACAGTAGTCTAATTGAAAATAATATTTTTAATTCAATAACAACATTAATGAAACAAATATGTATGCTCTTGTTTTAATAAAATATTTGTTTTATTAATATGGTTATTGAATTAATTATTTTCAATTATCATTTCTTTTTCTTTTCTATGTACGCTTGTAAATTTTAAAATGTTTTATAAAATTTTATGTCGCGTTAAACGACATTTATAATGAGATTTTAAGGCGTAAAATTTAAGCCTTAAGCCGTAAAAAAATTGATCAATCATAGTCGATTATGCTTTCGTTCGACTATGATTGGTTAATTTTTTACGATTTACTTAAAGCTTGAAGCTTAAAATTTACGCCTTAAAATTTCATTGTAGATGCTGCTTTAATTCTGTTAAGATCAAGGATGCTAAAAATGACAAGAAGCGATTAGCGAATGCGGCTATTGTACTCACCTATGGTCGTATAAATGGTACCACAGTAGAACACAGCATTCCAAAATGTCCACACTTTCTCGCCCTTGTCTGATAATTTCCGGCCGAAGTACTCATACAGGTCTTCCTCATACTGCATCAGCTCATTCACCGCTGCTCCTCTCCAACGGAACGTATCTGACGCCAACACCGAGTCTTCACATAATCTACGAATTGCTTCGACCGTATCATTTCTACGATTGAAAACATTCATGATGACTCAAGTTTAATTTAAATATTGGAAATTATTACAACTGAAAATACGAGTACAAACTAGCAAATTCTCTTCTTACGTTATGTTCCACGTTTTATAAAAGCATTTAACCCTCCGTCTGCAATCTATTAGGTCATATTGATGCCAATAGTTGTATCAACGTTATTTGTTAATACTTATACTATAATATTTATTTTAATTAAAAATTTTATGTAACACATCCAATATTAAATGCAGCTTTTATAAAACGTGGAAAAAATTTTTTTTAATAGGCATTTTTT